TGTATTATGATATGGAGGGCCTACTATGAAGTTGTTTTGAGTCTCTTGATAAACCAATTGAGGACGGCTCACGTCTCGTGTGTATAGCTTCAACGGAGCTTGTTATGTGACATTGTGGAAACTTTGAATGGCTTTCATCGTTTAATCAGTCCGAGTGTTGCCTCTGGGTTTCACCAGAGGGGATTGATTTAATACAGGTGTACTTGTCCTTGTAGTTGGAGTGAAGAAATAGAATGCCTGACTATTCGTGATAGGGCGCATTGTAGAATGAAGACGATTGTGGTTGAACATGAAAGTTTAATACTGGCTTATTAAGTGACCAGTATTATGTGGTAGCTTTAAATATTATTACGCCGGTTGTTTGGGACAGAGGTATGTACAAATTAGGGGGACGAGAAGGGGGCATGCAGGACGGAAATAAATTATGGCAATTAGACAGAAGAAATTCAATGGAAATCCCGACTCTGTTTTCATGCGGCGGGTTATTATCATACATTTTGAACCATCGTATCTGGAGATATGACCATAGAAAGGCTTATGCCCATTTATTTTTATTATATATTAACAATATATTTTAGCTCTTTCTAAATTAGTAAATTATCTGTATACCGTCTGAACAGAGATCAGCCTGGTGCAAAACTTAGTTTGCATTGCAGTTTATTCGAATTGCTCAATTCAATTCACATCAAGGAGAACACTTGCGAACCGTGTGAAAATTACACAACGTGGAACACAGTCCCGTTAGTTATACGTTGCATTGAAAGACTTGCTACAGTTACTGTGTAATGCTTCTGCTAATTTGAGCTTTATTCGCCGGTATCGCGTGATATTGACGTCACTAAATATATCGATACTTTATCGTATCAACTACATACTGGTTTACGCTAGCACCGTCCGGCAATAACCACCGGTAAAGATATTCCATGTGCGTATAGTCTTATTTTCAGTGTTAAGTCTTTTTACGGATATATAAAATCAGATGTTAATGTAAGACGTTGTCTTGGCAACAATCACGTTGCGGATAAATAACCACTTAGTGGTAGAGTACATATTGTATGTCAATCATTTGTATACAGAATGGTTGTTTGTTTCATAGTTGACAAAACAGGTATCGTTTATTGTATACAACATAACTGATAGCGACAAAGTCGTCACCACATTTTTAATTGAGCGCTACAATCGTAACGCAGTGCCACAGTCGTCCCACAGCGATACTGTCGACGCGCAGCACTACATTCGTAACACAGCGATACATCTATTACGCAACTCTATTGCCGTCATGCAATGCTACAGACGTCATGCAACGCTACAGACGTCAAGCAACGCTACAGTCGCCACGCAACGCCACTGTCGTCACGCAACGCTACAGTCGCCATGCAACGCTACAGACGTCAAGCAACACTACAGTCATCACGCAACGCCACTGTCGTCACGCAACGCTACAGTCGCCATGCAACGCTACAGTCGTCACGCAACGCCACTGTCGCCACGCAACGGTACAGTCGCCATGCAACACTACAGTCGTCGAGCAGTACCAGCGACGTTGTATAAGTCGCGTGATAACCATATCTAACACGACTAGTGTGGCGTTTTATAATAAAAGATACAATCATAGAAAATAATCGCGACAATTTAATTTGACTTACTGTAATAAAAACAACATGAACAATAAAAATCCGAGCCAGAAAGAGTAAAATATTTCAATTATAACGCGCAATTGGATTAAAATGAAGAATATTTTATTTTGATGCTAAAAATCAGTTGATAAACTAAAATCTTGGTGTCGTTCTATTCTTTGGAATAAATATTACTATTAGACTTAGGCAAAGATATTGAGTGAATAACATTAATTCATTTTTCTACTTTACGATCGATGTAGGTAACACCGTAGTGAGAGTGGCGGAATCTATAACGAGTCGTATATCTTGGTACGTGTTGTAGTGTGTTTATCTATACACTGCCACGCAACATCGGACGCGTGGTCTAGCAAGAACAAAGTCAACAGGACTTTAGTCCCGTTGTGTTTGCAATGTGGGCTGCTCACCTGCCGTGTGAGTGTTGTCGCCATCTTGAATTGCGTATTAAATATGAATGTATGAACACTGCCGAAACGGTCTGATAGATAGACATCCCCCCTCTCTCTCCCAAATGGTGTCTGGCTGAATGTTCACTAGCTTTATATATGAAGGGATTATAGTCATGTGTAATGAAGTACCCGACCACAAAAGCAACTTGCATTGGTGACCCCGCTGACACGCACGTTTCATAAGTATAGTAGCTGCAGTCAAAGTCCTGAGGAGAACGAACGCACTATTTCTTCCCGCCAAAACGTTGGTTCTACGTTTTGCACTCGTGTGTGTGTTATTTTTGGCCCAAATGGACATAATTTCGAAATATTTGAAAACAAACTGTATTGGTATATTATTTTCTGAAATATGCTAAAATATTGATCATCAAGTGACAAATGAGAAGGAAACACATAAAGAGAAGAGGGGGAGTGAGATGTTTTATGTGCTTTCATTCAACCAGACTTAATCTTCCTGTAAAAGTCAACAATCCAAGTTGATGGGAAAACAGAATGATAGTTCAACAATGCAGATAAGCTTGAGATGAACGTATCAACGGGACAACAGACAACGACACAATGCACATTATCAGCGCGCCATAATGTACTGGCAGACGACAAGTTGTATTTGTAAAAACTCACAGCGAAAACAGGTAAAGGTACTTCAAAAAGCAGCCGACAGGACGTGCCAATAAAAGTAGTAGAGTGTGCCTGCAAGACGCGCCCCCGTGAAAGGGAAGGTAGTTTAACCATCCATCGATCAAATTCATTGCTGCTGGATTTGAAATTGGCTACCCCGCGGCCATTGTGGTCGACCGGGTTTCCTTTAAATATAGGCATAATTTAAGGCGATAAAACTTGAGCGTCGTATAAAGAGTACACATCAAAATTTACTGGGCCCATTTACTTTTGCGTGTATCTGTCACGATTTGGGACGTTTGGGGCAGATGCAGACTATTTTCATTATCGACGTCTGCTTTGGGGTTTACCAGCGAGCCATGTCGCTTCCCACACCTGTGCTGGCAGCACATCGATACATATCCCGCGTCTGTCTTAACCCCACCTCTTAACTTATAGTGGACACGCTCAGTGATTACCAATCGATCTTTACTAGTCGTCGTCCAGCCAGATCGACTGATCAGACCACTCTGCGCACGTCTGGTGTAACCGTTCTGCCCTCCCCTCCCATTTACTGACGATCAGCTTAAATATGCCAACCCGATAAACACGGAATACAAATCAATAAGCACCTTTTCCCTCCCTAGAGGATGCTGAGATTTAACCCGCACAACCGCACATACAATGAACAGTCGAAACTTTCAAATAACAATGCCAACTAAATCTCGTATCGTTTTTCATACAACGTGTTACAAGTAAAGAACCTCAAATACGTCCGCCATTCTGTTGTCTGTTTACCTCGACAAACGTGCGGTTGTTAGATGTGTGAGTGTATACCGATGAGCAGACACCCTGCTAAGGAATCTTGGCACCGAATTTCACCGTCGTGTCTAATATATTCGTCAAACTTATCGCGATAATGACGAGTTAACAAAACAATTTACGCTCAGTGTTTTATCTCGTATAATCTAACGTAAACTTAAACATAATACAGTCGAGAATTGATTTGTAGGGTCAAATAGAGTTAGACCCAGATCGCCCCGCGAAAACAGCTACCACGGTCACACAAATATGTGCCTATGCCACCTGTGTCGCGTGTAGCCCACGGATATCACTTGGATATTCGTAAGCGGTAATGTACGTCAAATTTCAAGCCTCGTGCTTTATGCGAGACCAAAAAGGTGGGAAATGAACTGATTTTATGGATCACGGATGATCGTTAAAACACAGCTGTTGATTGTGCGTTCGAGCACGTACACGTCGCCGTCTCCAGTCACGGTACGGTACCGCTGAAATACCATTGAGGTATCATTAACCACGCACTCAAAAGTAAAAGATTTACCTACCCGTAACTCGAACGGCACAGCGGGCATGGCTTGGATTTCAGCGCGACCGTCGTCACCTCGTGGTTGTGCTGCGGTGGCATCGCCGTCGCCATGGTGGTGCTGCTCGGCGTACACCGTCGATTACCGGAGACGTTGCTTATAGTGCGTTGTCGAAATCACAAGTTGGCGATTATGTGACAGGACTCAGATTTGTCACCGAGCCGCTCCTTTTGTTGGCTTCTAGTTATTTAAAACACACTAACGATTGACGACAACAACCTACTTATGCCCCCGTGTCTATTGTTACCGGTATTAATGTCATCGTCATGGAAACGTCAAAGAGTTGTCGAGATTTCATATTAAAGTTAGAAGAGCCCTTTTTTCCATGAAGTGGTTGACGCGCGCTAACAGGTGGGTGGCTACTTCTTGTTTCCAGGCGACGAGCTGGAGGTGGCCTGGAGCGTTTCTATGGAAACCACTTGGTACAAACTACAATTCACACATGTAATTTCATTACAGATGATATTCTACATGATATTTGTCCCGGGTGTCATAACTCGTCTGTTGGTTGGCAGGAAAATGAAGAAGTGTGTACTCGTACCGGATGAATAACTATCTATATCACATGATACGTCAGTCACATGATCGACGAACAGAAAAATTCTTATCTTTCGCTATTTATATATCAATTCCAAAACATGAAGCATCTGCCTAAATACTGCATTTCACAAAACTACTAATTATCTGTTCACTCACTTTGAAGCGCCGTAATCGTCGCGCCGCATCGTATTCCATATCATGGGTCCCTTGCAACGTATACAACGCGTGTAAAATAACATGTTTGTTTACACGAAATTCGAACGCAATGAACACCATGTTACCCACTGGAAGTGATACAAGAGCGCGTTGGAAGTGAATATTAAATTCTGCCAATTTGGTGGCGCGGCGATGAACAGGAAAGTTTCATATGTTTACCCATAATACTCCGCCGTGTCGGATATTTATGTAAGAAGTCAATTTCCAAATTCGCTTTGTCACCGACGCTATAATATCTCCAAGATATTCATATATAAATCGTTTGCGTCGATTAACAAAACAAATCTATCGAGGAATCAGCCTTAAATTTGATCTACATGAAGTCATTTTCTTCCCCAACTCCCAAAATAACTCCAGTGGCTTGGCTGCACACAGGCGGGGATATTTCTTATATATATCCGGTTGCGTCGAAGCATAAATACAAGAATTTGATACCTCGAATAAAAAAAAACTGTTAAACAAGCTGCACTTTGATTGGTATGACTGTTGAATGTTGGGTTTTAGTAGCCAATCAGGAACAATCTTGTAAGTAGCTTCGCAATGACTTCCTATCCTCAGCAGTTCGTGAAACAGTCACGTGTATTCAGTTACGTTTATATATGCCTCATTGAACGAGTTTTATCCACACTAGACTGCCTTTTATTCGGTAACTTAAAGCGGGAGGGTCGTCACCTGCGCACGCACGGGAATTGAGTCCGAAGCGACGATAACAACATACGCCAAAAACACAAAGGCTCGTGGGTAGACGCATGTTTGTAAACAATAACACGTTACGGACACATGATGCATGCGCAGATGACGACTCCGCCGCTTTAAATAACACGTCAGCGCAAAGTACTACACCACGTTATGTCCGCACTACGAAGCCTTGCTTTCTCAGTCTGGGACACAAAATATTATATTAAATGTTAAGTACTATTTAAAATACTCCAGCTATTTATAAGTGTTAGTCGAGTCTCGAACTGGTATATTTGTATGACTTCAAAAGCTGACGAAAGCAAATGTTAGTAATCTGACTTAATTAAAAAAACAACAACAACTGTATCTAATATAAGATATGGACCACCTACATTTTTGTAGACACGCAACAAATGAGTTATCTGTAAAATTTTCTCCTTTTTTTAGTTCGGATATAAAAATCCCACCTGACTTCGTGAACGTTTCTGAGTTGAACTCGTCAAAGATATTTGTATTTAATAAAAGTCGGCGCCGATGCTTTAACACGTTTGTTCACAAGTGTAACGCATTGTGTTGCTGAGCAAACTCGTTCAATTAATAGAGTGTGTTTAAATGTATTCAGTACTTCAATTTATATGTCTTTTTTACGTAATTGCTCTTATGGCTAAACAAAATAAAGTATAAAGTGTCATTCGTACAGAGAAAAGGGCAATGGTACAATTGGACGCGACATATCATCACCAGACTCTCACAAGAACAAATCAGTGGTATAAAGGAAACCACCATTGCATAGCTTAATAATACCCACTTGCAGACAAGCACGTAACAAAAGAGGCCAACCTGGGGATTTTTTTTTTTCAATTTACTAAACACGATTTTGCTGGAAGCTTAGATCAAGTGAACTTTGACATGTGCTACAAATCGAGTTCATTCAGTACTTGTACTTCTACAATCAGCGCCCACTTAAATGACGTCAGTGTTGTGTCGCCAGTGTAGACATGAGAATATTTTTTAAGTACTTTAATAATTTATTTATATAGTGTATGTACATATACCATTTGTTTAACGTGCTCACGTGTGCACAAAGGGAGTACTCGCACCTGACATGTACTCCGACATTTGGTATTGTGGCACCAAAATCAGAAAACAGATTTACTAAGGATTCAGTTTTGAAAATTGTATTTACCGTGTTTTTTGTTCGGTATTGTTATTACACAAATAAACTTGAAATTAGTAAATATATGGCGCCCTCAGTGTATGATTCATGTGAGAATTGATTGTGAACTAGGACTTGTTTTGTTGACAGCGGAATTGACACCGTCAACAGTTCCCAAATGACACGTTTTTTCGAGTATTACCATAGACCCTCTAACAGATCTGTTAGAGGGTCTATGGTATTACATAACAAAATATATCTCATAAACATAGTGATAACAGTTATTTGGCAACAAATGCCGCCCACTGCCTTCCTAGCATATCTTTGAATGTGTACACAAATTCAAGGCATTGTGTTTGATATTGTTTCGATCACTGTGCAGTAACGGCAGTTATTTATCATCCGTTTTGTAATAATGTTCATAACGAATTGTCTCAACGCGATAAACACGTGGATATTTTATTGAATATTTTAAGCTGCTGACGACCACTACCAAGAGTCATTTAAGTGGATGTTCGATAGACAACCCGAAACTTGCTATGTGGATTTCACACATAAACGACTGTAACAAAACTGTTTTGCTGTCATGAATTTGTTTTCGCGTATCTGTTGACCGACTTAATTAACTGATTATTAGCGAATTGCTGTGTTATGTCTGTCATCGTGTAGGCCTATTTGAAGTTTTGGACGGAACTTGGCTCAGTGATTTGGAACTAATTACGAGATATCCGTCGCGATTCTGACAGTTGGTATTCCATAGTTATTAATGTAGTGAACGATTAATCAAAAGATATGACGTATTCAGTACTTAGTGTGATTGGCTTTATGATTGAAGGTTACGCCCTAGAGTCTTTTTACTGCTTTGTAATTGGTTAGAGTTTTGAAAATGAATAAAGAGAGTTTGAGTTGGTCTTGGCGAATACTCCACGACAGACGAGTCCGAGAGAGTCCAGGGGCGAGCCTTGAGGCAGTCCAGTCTTGGGCTAGTCTTGGGTCAGCCTTGCGAGAGTCTTGGGGATTTTTTCCCCAGGGCGCTGTGTCTTATAGAGTGCTCGATTGACCGACTAAGACGAGAGCTGAAACGTATTTCGTTGTGTGTGCCTTATTTGACTGTAAAGTTAAAGTGACTTTCCCGATCCCGTACCTCAAGGGGACGAGATAGAGAGACGAGACGAGTTTTCCCCCTGACACGTGTGGAGAACCCCGAGAGAGAGATTTTACCCCTGACATTGCTAACATTGGAAGCGATTTTTTTTATTTTAATATTTTTTTCAAACAAATAAATCAATTGCAAGATATCGATTTTTCACTACAGGTAAGGCATTACGTATTCCAATAAATTAACTAAATCCAGGTGTTTTAAAAATAACACTTCTTTAACTTATTGACAGATATTTGACATGTATTGACAATTTGTCACGTGGAATTGCATCGCTCAGACGCTAACACCTCCCTGCATTGACCGAATAAAAATGTCTGCTCCGCGGGTAGAGTACAGAAACTGCCGTAGTCATAGCAACCTGAATATAACCGAGATGTTGGACAACGTCTGTAGGAAAAGTTATTGCGAGCGAATTTCAACTTCAGACAAATCAGGTTTATTCCACCCACAGATGAGTTTTCAACCAGGAAAACCTTTCCTGCACTATTCCCTCCAAAAAAACGTTTCGTTGAAGTAACCCCGAAACAAGTTTCCAAGGTATTCTGAGTATTTGTGATTTTATGTAGAAGAATTCCATATCATAAATATTTTTACGGGCGCACTGTTGGTGTGATATATTTTCTTTATATGGACGTTTGCATCTAATAACTAATATACACACACATTTATATAATTAATCCACAGATTGGTCAATGAAACTCATGAAGCTCGTAAACCGTGACAAGAAAAGCAATACCGCTAAATTTGTATATTTGTCCAGTCAGAATTCTTATATTTTACAAAATATAAAAAAATTTAAAATTGCTCTAGTTTGCAAGATAAAATAATGCTCGCTTGTTTTGTCGTTAGTTGAATTGGTCAGCTCAGTAACTCCACAAATAGAGTGCCACACAGTCGAATAAGAAGTGCATGAGAACGGTTGCTTCTCGTTCGAAGGCGATATTGCATTTCATAAAATGATTTGGTTACCGGGAGTAATATTCAAGCGGAGGGGTCTTCGCCGTGCTCGCGCAGGAATTGAGCCATAAGCGACGATACCAACGCATGCTAAAACGCAAAGGCTCATGGGTAGTCGGTTGTTTGTGAACAACGATAAGATGTGGTCGTGTGCTGCATGGACAGGTGACGACTATCACGCTTTCGCGCCTCTTATGGTGATAACATATCTCTGAGTCAACAAGTCATAATAATGGGATCGAATAATTGTTGGTTTTGCTGCGAAGATTATAATTTCTATGTCTGCACATTTAGTGACAAAACGATTAATTAAGCTCTCGGCTGTTAGTAGTTAAGTCGGAATCTATTGCCTGCACGTGATGTAAACAACTGATTTAGTGTGTATAGACTTGTTATAAACACCAAGAATCTGAGTTCGAAGTTGCCCATTCTACTCTGGATATTTCCAATAGCCAGTATTTGA